ATTAATCTTTTGTTTTCTGTGTTTGTGAGGGTAATGAAAAAGGAACATGTATAATTGGAATTGTTATCGTTTGAGCATTTGAGCTCAGTTCATGCCTACAAAATAAAATATTGCTTTTGCAATGTACAAAAGTTGGAATTTGGGATTTCCATCGCATGTATTTTGTGGTCTTCATGGTTTATTCAGATGGAATTCGTGGAGTGATTATTTTCTACACCCCGAAACATATTTAAAGATTATGAGAAGTAACAAACCGAGATCGATATACTACGGTTCTGTTTGGCAAATCTAGCTGAAAGCTGCGAGATTATAGCTGAAAGCTGTTAAGCTAGCTGAAAGCTGTGAAATTGTAGCTGAAAGCTGATAGCTGTGTAGCTAGCTGATTGACTAGAGCGGTTTGGCAAAAGTAACTGTACAACTAGCTTAAATTTGTTAAATGACTAAAAAGGACATGCAATATTATTGATATAAAATTAGAATTATTAGGGGCAAAAAAGGAAGAAAAAAATTGGCAGCTCCTTCCCCAAAGACAAACGCTACTTGAGATAGCTTTCCAAAAGCTACTTGCAAAAGACACAATCTCCAAAATAATCTCCTCTTATTTTTGGTCACCAAACAACTCTACTAGCTTATTGATCAAGTTAATAAGACACAAGCTCTTAGATAAGACATTTTTTTTGGTTGCCAAACAGTGCCTACATGTCCCTTAAGAAGAGAGAAATCAACAGAGTGAGCAAGAGGAGGAAAAGAAGGATGATGAACAGCAGAGGGGGGGAGTGTGCAACTCTTTGAAGGGTTTTATGGACATAAGTCCCTCAACTCTTCAATATTTCCAAATTAGACCCTCAAATCCCACCCAGAGATTGCTATTTGATCACATTGCTTGCAATTTGGGCTCTTAGTTGTGAGTTTGCTATTGTACTCCTGAGTTTTATACACTCAACCCGTTAAAAAGTCAATTCTTCTCCAATGGCTCTCTCTTTCTCCCTAGCCCATTTTCAACAGTTCTTTACCATCTCAACCCTAAAAAAATTCCCAAGAGGCCCTCATCCAAGCCATCTGCGACGCAAAGCAAATTTATTGCTTTAAACACTATGCTTGAGTCAATTTCCACGTCCAAATGTTGCAATCTAGTGTTCATTGCAAAGCAAATTCCTTCAAGAATTGGAATTGCTTTAGCCGTGTGGATTGAATCACTATAACCCCCATTTTTTTTTGCCATCGTTGCTATAAATTTCCCATTATATTTTCGAATTATTATACTATTAGTTCTCAACTTTTTTAAATTCCCACAGGAAATTTACGTTTCTGTAAGCGAGACTTTGAAGGTAAATACAAATAATTTTTTAAAGAAAGTTTAAGATAGAACTGCTCTTTGAGACGTGTAAGTTGATGTTGTGAAAAATTTTTAGTTCATAATAATTAAACTTTTAATTTAAGTTAAAGACTTATTGTTAGAGTTATTCCTTAATCTTCTCTTATATATTGAGACTTTTGGTTATGAGGTCAAAAGACTTGTTATTCGAACAATTAATATGTGTGTTCATCGCTTTATTATTTCTTTTAACAACTAAAGGGTTGTTTGGGAATAAAGATCTTCCCTCACAACAACCCGCATGCAGCTGAGGTGTTCTCGCCGTTTAAGAGCGCATTTGAATGATCAAAGTGTTT